CCATGTATTCAATAACAGGTATAGAGTAGAAGAGAGAAAAAATATATATATAAAGCACTGAAACAAACTAATTTAGGATTTTTAATGTTTTGTGTCTCATGAACCCCTCAGGCGGTTTCAGGAGCTTTTGAATGGATCTCAGAATGTTTTTAAGTATACAGAATAATGGGGCTGGGGATTTAGCTCAGTGGTTCTCTTGCCTGCCCTGCAAGCGCAAGGATCCGTGTTCGATCCCCAGTACCAAAAAAAAAAAAAAAAAAAAAAAAATTGTTTCTTTATTAACAAAATAAGATCTAATAGCAGCTCTGTTAATAACTACCATGATTTCAAAGTAGCAAAAAGTATAAGCAGCATTTTGAGATTTCAGAAACTGTTATATTACATGAAAATATTTATGATTTTAACTGGTGACAAATTTAGGCTACTGTGATTTGTTTCCTACATTTACAATTAAAGGAAATGCTGTATTTCACTTCAAGATTAGTGAAAATACAGTTCAGAGAACATATGAACTGTACCCATGGGCTCCTTAGGGACCTGTGAACCTCAGGTGAAGAATCCCTGAAAGCCATAAAAGAAAGAATTTGTGTATTTTGCAAGACTACCTGGCAACAACGATAAAAGCCAGTTAAAAGTTAAACTATTTACAAAACATCTGTCACACAGAACATCTGAGTTTCAGAGCAGATGCTTTTAAAAATAAGTACTAGAATATTGCACATCCATTTTAAGTCTATTAAGGAGAGATCCCAGCACTCTGGCAGGCTGAGGCAGGTGACCTCCAAATTCGAGCCCAGCCCTGGGAACTTACCAACTTAGTAAGACCCTATCACAAACTAATAAAGGGTTGGAAAGACAGCACATTGCAAAGCCCCTGCGTTCAAACTCCGATACAGAAAAAGAAAAAGAAGAAAGAAGGTAGGACAACCAGCAGCAGCAGCATCCAGGATGGTAAATATTGTGCCCTGGGCCAAAAGCCTGTTATCCCAGCTACTGCGAAGGCTGAGACAGGAGGACTGCAAGTTCAAGGGCAGACTAGGTAGCAAGATTCTGATTCAAAATAAAGTAAAATAAGCTGGAGATGTACAGTTTGGTGTAGAGCACTTAGCTAGCATGCTTGAGACCCTAGGTTCAATCCCCAGCACTGCACAAAAAGAAAAAAAAAAAGAAGGTAAGAAATTTTTTCAATGCCAGAAATAAAGATGTTTCATCATTTATTCACTTTGTCTTATTTTATATTGATGAGAAAATTAAAACCTAAATATTTTTAAGGTAGGCAGTATTCAACAATCATGACAATTATGGATGCTAACAACATGTCTAAGCTCTTCAAATATCTTTTGCATGGACAAGGAATAAAAGTAGACCTTTCCAAGTCTACACTTCTTACAGTCAAATTCAGACCAAGCACTGTCCTTAGATCCTTTCCGATGCAATCACGCTTCTCTTAATGTATATCTTTAGAATGCAAAGTGACCTCACATGTCAAAGTATATTTTTAAAAATATACATAAATTTGGATAGGAAAAATTCTTAAAATTTCTACAGTACTATAGATTTCATATTCAGAGAATAGGGACAAAAAACATGTTAAATTTGATACATACTATAGTCTATCAGGAAGAGAAAACAGATATGGTGTCTAATATGAAGATTTACTAAGTAAATTTCAAACTACTGTTTAAAAGTCTAATTTATAGCTAAATGGATAGACCATACTCTTAAGTATGAGACCATACTCTTAAGTAAAATAAATCAGACACACACATTTAAATACCACATTGTTTTTCTGGTATGAGAAACCAAAAATGGAAATAAGGACTATAATGTATAATAGATATTGGGGAATGTGAAGAAAATGTTCAAAAGGGAAGAGAGGGCTGGAGATTTAGCTCAGTGGTTCCACTGCCTCCCTCGCAAGTGCAAGGTCCCCCGTTTGATCCCAGGTACCAAAAAAAAAAAAAAAACGGAAGAGGGAAGAGAAACAGGGAGGGAGAAGGGATAAAGGAAGGAAGGGACAAGAAAAAATGGAAACAAACCTTTTATACAGGGAGGGAGTCCAGGGGAAGGCGGAAAAGGGAAAAAAAAAAGAGGCAGGACAGATCAGGTACAGATGCAAATTCCCTATGAGTGTTATCATTTTGTGTATCTAAAATGTACCAATAAATGTTTTGCTTAAAAAAAGAAAGAAAGAAGGTCTAGCATGATGGGCTGCAGATGTAGCTCAACAGTAAGCACTTGCCTAACATTTGTGAAGCACTGGGTTCAATTCCTCCAAGAAAAAGTCTAGCTAGGTAAGACAAGTCCATGGAAATTATTTAGAAGTTCAGAAATCAACTCTTCTATTCTTAAATTCTTAATCAGTTACACTGAGAATTCTCCCACTATCTCTTGTTAGAAAATTACAGGTATTTTGATGAGAAATTCTTAAATTTTAATGTTTATAAGAATTGTAAATTAAGTCAAGCATGGTGGTACATGCAGAAGCAGGAAGATTATAAATTCAAAGCCAGCCTGGCAAACTGGTGAGATCCTGTCTCAAAAAATCTTTGCTATTTTTGTTTGTTTTGAGACAGGGTCTCCTGCCACAACCTCCTGAATGCTGGGAGTATAGGACTGTGGCACCATGCCCAGCTGTTTTTTGAGATAGGATCTTGCTCTGTAATTCAGGCTGGTCTTAACTCACCTCCTGCCTCAACTTTCTGCATGCTGGGATTACAGGTATGTGCCACCACACCCAGCTCAAAATAAAAAAAAAATTTTAAAGACTAAGGATGTAGCTCTGTGCAAAGGTCCTGGGCTCAATCTCCAGCACCACTTAAAAAATACTGTATGATATGGGGTTCAGTCTCAGATTTGAAGCTTAATTTACTTCTTTAAGAGGAAAACAATGGTTCTGTATTTCTGTAAGTCTCCCGCAAACTTTATTAATGGATAGATAAGTAAATAATAAACCATTAATTTGCGTTGGTTTACCTAATTATGTATCTGTACAATAGATACATTTAAATTTTAAAAGAAAACAGTGGATTTTTTTGAAATTAATAACCACTTATTTCCTATAATTCATAATTTTCAGGGACTCTTAACTAGAACAGATCAAGAAATTTCTCAAAGGCTTTCCTGCCCAAAAAGAACACGCAAATACTTTATCCACCTTTAGAAATGCTACTAATATTTTTCTACTCCACCAGATATAAATATGAAGGTAAGGACTTATTCACTACTTCCAGCATCAAAAGGCCTGGCACACAGTAGGTTCTCAACAAATGTATGCCAAATAAACTGGTTAAAAACGATCTGTCACTTTCAAGAGTTTACAAATCAAATTTTTGGAACTGGGACATCTTTCTTAGAACTGGGACTACTAGTTTTAACAATATTTTGGCCCCATTCACTCCCTTCCATGTATATATTTTACAAAATGTTCCACCCACAATATCCCATGTCATTTCTGTGTAGTAAATAAACTGTCAGGGCATAGTAAAGGATAAGGATTTTATAACCAAAAGTTTAAGAAATTTATCCAAGGGCCATAAACTGATAAACCATAACAAATTTGTCTAGGAGTTGGTGACTATAAATGGATCTAGCTGGGCTTGGTGGCACACGCCAGTAAGCCCAGCACTTGAGAGACAGGGGGATCTGAGGGAGTTCAAAGCCAAGTACACAGCGAGACCCTGTCTCAAAATAATAAATAAATAAATGGATCTAGACTCATAGTCTTGATATTCATAGATCTGGGAAGAGAAAAATGGTTTCTTTTCCGGAATCTCTTGGCTGGAGCGCTTGCCATTCCTTCAGAGCTCTAGATAAACAGGACAGGTAAACAAGAGCCACTCTTGGGAAAATATCAAGGCCGACAAACTAGGAAGCTGGCAAGCTACTGTGGATACGGCTAAGTATTTCAAAATCAATCCAGCCGTCGTTTCCCCAAACTTCCGCGGCTGCTTCCCCGCGGGCCCCGAGATCTGCCCGTTGCCGGGAAGTATTCTGAGGCCTGTTTATGTTCCAGTGTTGACGACCACACAATGACAGTGACACCGCGAGTGTCATGCAGCCGGCGTCCCGTCCCGGATCTCCGGCTGGGCGCCCCGAAGTGATCCCAAAAGTGACAACTCCTCAGCCCGGCCCCTCCCGGAGCCCCCGACATTCCCGAGGGGGAACCAGGGCGGGCTGATAGCGTCCGAGGACACTTTGCGTCTCTTTCAGAGTTTATGGGAAGTGGCTGCATTCCGGCTCCAAATCAGGAGGCCTGCGAGCGCGTGGGCAGGCAAGAACAAACGGGGTTTCCTTCAAATTGGGGAAACCGCTGCTCCAGCGGCTAGGAGAGCCCCTATCCAACCGGGAAGGTGGGGGTTTCGGGCGGGACAAGCCTCGCACCCTCCTCGAGTCCCCATCAGTCGACCGGTCCGCTCCCCCCGGGCCACGGGCTCTGGCGCAGACCCCTTTCTTACCTCTCTGCGTCGAGACTAGCGAGGTGGTGATGAGCCGGGCCGCAGCCGCGCCGCAAGTGCAAGCGCCGCAGCTGGACATCTCGGCCGGGTTTAGGCCGGGACTTCCCCTTGCTGACCTCAGGGTCTAGGCCGACCGACTCCTACTCGCGGGGCGCGCTGACGTGGTATCGAACCCTCCTGTTGGCCCGAAGCCGGATACAGAGTGCACTCGACAGGTAGCCAACCCGGATCGCTCAGCGGGTCCCACCGCCTTACCCCACTAGGATCCTCTGCCTCCTCCCTTACCCTCCTCCTCCTCCCCCACCCACCCCCGGCTACCGGGCCCTTGGAGCGTGCGCGCGCCTGCGCCCTAGGCCCAGGGAGGGGGTGTGGGCACGCGTGAGCGTGCGTGCTTGAGACCTCAACGTGAGGAAAGGGGGCGGTGACCAGGGCGCCAATGAGCGCGCTACGGCAAGCGGCTAGCCCCAAATGTCCCGACACGCAAACTTTCCGGAAGCTCCTTGATCTCGAAGCTGAAAGGTTTTAGACGCGGAAGGGTGCACGCTGGGAGTAGTCTGAGCCCGTTGTAGTTAAGCTTTTCGCCGGGTTATTTTTCAGAGGCGGCAGTGTAAGACTGCATAACTCTGTAATCATAAAACTCCCCTAGCCCCACCTGTGATTGAATGTGAGTAAATAGATAAAGATGCTTCTTAGTTTCGGGACACTAGATAAGATCCCTATCAGTCGTAATTATCCAACCCTTTGTTCCGGACACCACTATCTATAAACCAATCTACAAAGCATCTGCTGACTAACAGTACATGTCAGGCTAATTAACATACAAATGTAAGACCACTAAACCTTTGTTCCTTCTTCTGTAAATTTCGCCTGTTAACTCCCCTGCAAGCCCGTATAAAAAGAGCCTCGGACTCTGGACTAGGCCTCTCTCGAAGCTACTTTGCTTTGGGAGTGCCGTCTGGCCAGACTAAGGTCTGTTTCACTTTCCAATTTGTCCGGTGTGTTCCTTCCCTGGTGTTCTTCGTTGCAGTCAGCTCCTTGGAGCATTTGGTAAGGCCTTTGGTCTTACATTCTGGAGGCACCGCTGGGATCCCTGGGTGTGCTCCACTCCAGCTGCTTGAAGCATTTGGTAAGGCCTTTGGTCTTACATTCTGGAGGCACCGCTGGGATCCCTGGGTGTGCTTCACTATAGTCAGCTCCTCAGAGCTTTTGGTAAAGACAGCGGTCTTACAGCAGGGAATTTCAAAGCGAGACAGATGGTTTAGGTGCCCCCAGGAGGAGTCTTTAAAGTGACTCAGGGGATTGGAGGTATTTCTCGGTTTTAGAGCACTTGCTTAGTGTGCCCTGGGGCCCTGCGTTCAGTCCCCAACACCCTCGCCCCCATCCATCCATCCATATCCATCTATACGTAAAATGACTTGGCAGCCCCTAGACACTTACACTTCAATATGTTCCTTCCCTCAGGGATTGCACATCCCGAATTTTTGGGGTCATCTTTGGTTTCCTCATTTTTATGGCGTTGAAGTGGTATCTTGACCTAATTCTATGAGCAACAACTGTTGGAAGGTGATAGCCCCTTTCCTTGCTCTTTCAAGCCTAGTGATGATTAAGCTTTCAGCTCTTTCCTGTGCAAGGGTTCTTCACAATCTAAAAATGTGATCACACCCTAGTAAAGTCCCTTTATGGATCCTTCTGTTACCCTCTGCCCGGAGTGTCTGCAGGGCCTGCCTCCTATGCACAGTTAAAGCAAATCCAAGAAAAAGTAAGAAAAGAAACAACAAAGCAAATAGATTATCTGCACAAGGTAGACAATGGCGATAAATGAATCAGATCCATTTCCAATCTTATACTAATTATTTACCTTATGCATAAGAGTGATTGACTCTGACCCCAGAAAATTGCTAGGTGAGCTTGAGCACGTTTAGGTCTGAGCTTTGGAGAAGGAGAACCTGGGAGTGACAGTCAGGCCGGGGCCAACACCAGGTCACACAAGTCAATTCACCCTCATCGACCTCCGGCAGAAAAATGTGGCTTCTAGTTCCCTGGCACTGTCTGTAAGAAGGGGCATGGCTTGACCCAGGCCATACGGTTCTTTCTCCCTTGGGGAGCCGACTCCTGGTACTTCCTCAGGTTAAAGTGGCAGAGGCCAGTCAGGCATGATGGGTCATGCCTGTAATCCCAGCACTGCTGAGGCAGTAGAATTGCAAGTTTGGGCCCAGCCTTGGCAATTTAATGACTTAGTGAGCTGTGTCTCAAAAATAAAAACTAAAAAGGGGTGGGGATATAGTTCAACGTGAAGGCTCTAGTTTCATTCCCCAGTAGGCCATATGGGAGGGCAGAGACTAAAGGAAGGCTCCAATCTTCTTCACTGCAAACCAGTATTTCCTCAGTTGCCTCCATTAATACAAAAAACATTTTTTTTGGTACTGGGGATCGAACTCAGGATCTTCTGCTTGGGAGGCAGGCGGTGGCACCACTGAGCTAAATCCCTGGCCCCATTAACAGAATTTTGAGAAAGAAGGATCTCCAAAGTTTCCTCAGTTGAGTGTCTTCAAACTGTATTCCTAATTTGTCACAGAAGCTATTACCTCTGTAGTTGTGGTGAGGGAAAGACGTGCAGGGATCTCCTCCGATTTCTACCCCCACACCACCCTAAAGCCAGGCAGACCAGCTCTGTGTTTATCTTTTTCATTTATTGAGATTTTGTTTGAAAACTGGAGGTCGGATGTGGTGGCACACGCCTGTGATCCTAGTACTCGGGAGGATGAGGCAGGAGGATTGCTGTGAGTTCAAGGCCAGCCTGGGCTATACAGTGAGTTCAAGGCCAGCCTAAACTACATAATGAGATCCTGTCTCAAAAAAAAGAAGAAGAGGGCCAGGGGTTTAGCTCAGTGGTTTCTCTGCCTGCTGCGCAAGGACCCGAGTTCAATCCCCGGTACCAAAAAATTTTAAAAATTAAAAAAATTTTTAAAAAAGGAAGAAGAGAAGGAGGAGGAGGTTGCTTGTCAGTATCTATGGATAGCAAAGATTGCAATAAAGCAAGCTGAATAAAGGTGTAGTTAGATCAAGCCTCAACTAGGGGCACCACTGCTCCAGGAACCCCTCCCTTTTTCTGGTCTAGGGATGGGACTTCTCATTTGTTCAATCAACAAATAATTTACTTAGCACCAGTTACATGCTAGGTGCTGAGAAATAGTACTGAAGAAACAAAAATGTTTCTTCACTCATGGGGCTTCCATTCTAATGAGGAAAGACACTAAGTAAAACATAAGTATATGACAGTGGTAAAATGAAGTGGGCTGTCCCTACATGTGGTATAATATAACTTTGTATTATTCCCAGAGTGACTGAGCATTTGATTATATTTATGGGCTGATGTCTTGTGCATTTAGCCTTATATTCTCAACTGGTCGATGAGCTCTTTGAAGGCAGGTACTTTGTTATATATTTGGGACTGAACCATAGTAGAAGTTCAGTAAACATTTGATTAAGTGCTTATTTCCCTGCGATACTTTTGCCTGCTGGGATGGTGTCTTCAGAAAATCCTGTCCATAAAAAGATCAAGTTACACTTAACAAGAACAAAATGTTAGGAGACAAATTTTATTAACTTATACAATAGTTAATACCAGTGGCTGTCTAGGAAGGTTCCCAGTGGTTACCTAATCAGCGGAGTGTAGACTTTGCCCTAGAAAGTACAAAACGGGGAGCTGTACACAGCTCAGATTAACTTTTTGTCAGTAGTGTGTACAAGGGTCATGTGGCTCTGGGTCTCTGGCCAGTGATGGTTTCAACAAAGAGGCAACCCAAATTTGGTAGTTTTGATGCATTTCAATGCATCCTCAGAACTGTGCTTTGCTGGTGAGAGTACTTGGACTCTTTTTGTACTGGTGTCTGAACCCAGGGCCTTCCCACTGAGCTATATATCTAACCCTTTTTATTTTTTATTTTGAGACAGGGTCTCACTAAGTCCCCGAGTTGCCCAGGCTGAATTTGAACCTATGATCCTCCTGGCTCAACCTCCCAGTGTCTGGATTACAGGTGTGTGTCACCACACTCAGCTCAATACAGTCCTTGGACTTTTGGGATCAGCAGCCAAAGAGCCTGAAGCAACACTAACTTTGTTCAGGGCTCTTCAGTGCTTACACCTCATAGGGGCACAGATGGACCACCTTATAGTGGTGTTCAAACTAGGGAAGTTGTGCGGTGGGGTTACACCAAGACACCCCAAATGGTATATGAAAACAATGTATGTCATTTAAATAAAATAACATCTGTGTTTGAAATTGTTCAAAAGTCCAAAGTCAAAAAAAGCGAGAGAAAAGTCCATGGTCATTCTTTAGGAAGTGCTTGGCTGTTGGGTAAAGGAGCACATTCCAATTTATAAATGTTTGTTCCCTGCTCTGAAATTCACAGGCTGGAACAGGTCCTTGCACCAGGATGTGGCTGTGTAGCTATGAGATGGAGCAGAGCTTGGGGTCTGGACAAAGAGTAGCAGAGCTCCAGAGGTAAACTAGGACTTCTCTCCTACTCAGCATTGCCAGGAAAACCTCTGGTCAGGTTCCCATTAGGTCATCCTCTCAAATTCTGGTTCAGAATCACATGGCCATTTGAGATTTCCCTTGTGATAAAATGGATCCTGCATCGGGAAATGAATGGTAAATACCTAGGACTACACCATATCAGCTCTTTGAGACAAAACACTTCTATATCACACTTTCAGCTCTTTTCTGACAGGTTAAAAAAGATGATTTTAAAAGAGTCAGATGCAACTGTCCAGTTCACATAGTTTCACTGGAAGACCTGACTCCTTATTTTGAGTTATTTACATGTTTCATTTTGGATAGCTGAAGGCACACAGCTTTTAGTGTTTTCTTTCCTTTTGGGGGGGGGGTACCAGGGATTGAACTCAGGACCTTGTGCTTGCAAGGCAGGCACTGGAACCACTGAGCTAAATCCCCAGCCCAAAGGACATAATGTTTTTTTTTCTTTTTCTTTTTCTTTTTTGGGCCGGAGATCGAACTCAGGTCCTTGTGCTTGTGAAGCAGGTGGCAGAACCACTGAGCTAAATCCCCAGCCCTAGGGTTTTCATTTTATGTAATGTTTATTTTCTCCTTTTATACTTGATTTTACCTCCCAGAACTGTGAGTATTGTGAGTGGCTGTGAAAAATATTTTTACAGATTAGACTCAGTGAGTCATCTAATATCAGTGATGAATTTTTCAGACGAGGAAACAGGCCTATAAAACATCACCAGGGTCATATAATGAATCAGAAAGACAGCCTGATTTTAAAACTGTTTCTCAACCTTTTTTTTTTTTTTTTGGACTCAAGAATCCTTTTGCTAAACATAAATATCTCAGCTTCTCCTCCACCAGAAACCCTGGTACTACTGGCAGCCAGAATTCTGCGGGGAATCCTTGTATCTTCTGAATGAAGATATTTATTTTCATGGCTAAATGCTGTTCCTTTATACAGGCAGGCATTGATCTTCCCTGGCAGAATGTAAAGCTAAATATGAAGATTGAGGGATTCCATATTTATATTGTAAAAGCTAGGGACTAAAAAATAAAGGCTTGTGTCTATAGGTGATGTGAGATGCAAAATAATACTCATAACATCATCTAGAACTTTGCAAAGAGCTTTCACATCTATATTCTCATCTGATTCACACAACAGCCTAGTGAGGTATTGTTTTTATCAGCATTTCAGTTTCACAGTCTAGAAAACTGATTCACAGAAGTTTTGAGACCTAAAGCTCAAAGTAACAGCAGACTGGAACTCAAACTTAAATTTCCAGAGAGGTTTCCATTATTTCCCTATTCCCTTCTTCAAAAGCTGGTGAGATTTCAGTGGTCTGCAGAATCTGCATCCCTTACCCAGAAATATCTCACTCCAAGGACTAAAAAACTATCATTCCATTAATGCAATGGATCACCATCCCTCTTTACTTAAGAATTACTGACAAAAGCCAGACATGGTGGCACATGCCAGTAATCCCAGAATTTGGGAGGCTAAGGCAGGAAGATCACCGTGAGTTCAAGGCTAGCCTGGGCTCCATAGTGAGTTAAACTGCACAGTGAGTCCCTGTCTCAAAAAAGAAAAGAAAAAATTACCAACAGAGTGTTAAAATATACCAAGGGCTGGGGATTTAGCTAGTGGTTCCACCGCTTGCCTTGCAAGCGCAAGGTCCTGAGTTCAATCCCCCGTACCAAGAAAAGTTTTTTAAAAACCTAAACTTGGGAGTCCAAGGTAGAAGGATTTAAAGTTCAAGGCCAGTCTAGGGGATTTAGCAAGATCCTGTCTCAAAATAAAAAATAAGCCAGGGCCAGGGATTTAGCTCAGTGGTGCCGCCACCTGCCTCACAAGCACAAGGTCCTGAGTTCGATCCCCGGTACCAAAAAAAACAAAAACAAAAAGCCAGGGCCAGGGATTTAGCTCAGTGGTGCCGCCACCTGCCTCACAAGCACAAGGTCCTGAGTTCGATCCCCGGTACCAAAAAAAAAAAAAAGAAGCCAGGTATGGTGGCATACATCTGTGAGCCCAGTTGTGAGGCAGAAGATTGTGAGTTCAAGGCCAGCCTAGGTTACATAATGAATTTAAAGCCAGGCGTGATGGTGCACACTTGTAATCCCAGCACTCGGGAGGCTGAGGTAGGAGGAGTGCCACAAGTTCGAGGGCAGCCTGGGCTGCCTAGTGAGTTCAGGGCTAGCCTGAACTACACAGTGAGAGCCCGTCTCAAACAACAAACAAAGAAAACATAGTGAATTTAAAGCTTGCTTAGACTACATAGCAAGACTCTAACTCAAAAAATCAAAACCAAATCAAACCAAAATTTAAAAATAAATAAAAAGGGCTGTGGCTGTGTCTCAGTGGTGGGACAGTGTAGGGCACCCCTAGGTTCAAGTCAGAAAGACAGCCCAACCCTAACACAGTCCCAAACACAAATCTTAAATTGGATGTGGTAGCACACAGCTGTAATCCTAGCATTCAGGAGGCTGAAGCAGGTGGATTGCTATGAGTTCAAGCCCAGCCTGAGCTACATAGCAAGGGCCTGTCTCAAAAACAAACTAATAAACCTTAGCCCCCCTAAGGTTTTTTTTTCACCCCCTTAGGATTTTGATAAAGTAGGCTAGAGTGGACTCAAGAATCTTTTTTTTTTTTGGTACTGGGGATTGAACTCAGGACCTTGCACTCGCGAAGCAGGTGCGGTGCCACTGAGCTAAATACCTGGCCCAGGAATCTATTTTTTAATTGCTAGAATTCTGAAATGCTAAGGCTTATTTGCAGAAATGAATAAGGTATGTTGCAATGTGGCAATGGGAGTCTATTCCTTTATTTCTCAAAATCTCTTTCTTAGGCTCCTTCTAGTTGCTGCCACTTTCACAGGGAGTCACTGCCCAGTCTCGGCATTGTGAGGAGACCAAGGAGACTCAGGGAGGTGCTCACCATTCTCCTGGGCCTGTATAGTACTAGGGGAGGGTACTTGGGACCTCAGGGAGCAAGGGGCCCCTCCTGGTCTGTCATTCTGATGTCTTTAGAGAGATGGTCGGCAGAGGGCGCTAACTCACCACGACTTCCCTCCTCACTGTCCCGGAGGGAGGGTGATTCCGGAAGCTCATCGCTTGGAAACGTTGGTGCATCAAATCTTGCAGAAGGACATAGGATGCACTTATTCATTTTTTCCAAAGGACACAGCTGTTGAGTAGAAGGGCTGACTTCTGGTGAATTACTTAACTTCATAAACCTGTTATTTTAACTATAGAGTGAGGTGGCCTTTGACCTTCTAAGGTTAATGTGATGAATAAATGAAATAATTCTTTGGCCCATAGTACACAGTAGGTACTCAGTGAATAATAAAGATCTTTTTATTCCTGTGTAGTACTGTGATTTATGGCTTTCCCTTTATCCCTTTCATTTTATTTATTTATTTGTCTTGTTTCTTTTGTTGAAACAGGGTCTTGCTGTATAGTTCAGGCTGGTCTTGAATTCACTATGGATCCCAGACTGACTTCAAACTCATGAGGATCCTCCTGCCTCAGCCTCCTGAGTGCTGGAATTACTGGCGTGCACCACCATGCCCAGCTATGCCTTTTAAAAATCCCTTTTTAGTCGTGCTTCTTATTTAGCTTGTTGAAGAATTTATCCTACTCCATTACACTTTTAGTATTGAGGAACTTGCTTGATTTCAAATGAAAACCTCAAAAAGAGAGATGAGAGAGAATAGGACTTAGTTTATGAGTCTTTTCCAATTTGCAACTCACCTGCATTAATCCTAATATTAGATAATAAAAGTGACATTTGCTTCAGTAACAATTATAATCATTTACTACTCTCAAGCAACATTTATGCACAAGCATAAAGATTTCTGAGCCAACAAAATAAATGTTCCCAAATTGGCTAATCATTATTTATGTACTAAACTAGGTGTGGTAGAGCAGGCCTTTAATCCCAGCACTGGGGAGGCTGAGGCAGGAGGATTGCCATGAGTTCAAGGCCAGTTTGAGCCACATAGTGAGTTCAAAGTCAGCCTGAACCACAAACCTGGAAAAACAAAATAAGAACAACAAAACACCAAAGTTTATGTACTTTACTCATAACCTAGGCCTTCAAAATTTCACTCTAAGTCTCTTTACTGTAAATTTCTTTTAAATGATGATTTGGTCATATGGATTAAAAATTAAAATTATTATGGATACACTTAATTATTTTTGACCACCTGAAAAGAGATTTAATGGACTAAATGACAGATCTAAAGATGCTATCATAATATAGTATAGAAATAAGAAAATGGGAAATGGAAAATGTTAAGAGATGTGGAGAATGGAATGAAAAGATATTTATATGTCTAATTGTAGTTATATACTCTTTTTTTTCTTTTCTTTTTTTTTTTTTTTTTTGGTACTGGGGATTAAACTCGGGTCCTTGGGATTGCGAGGCAGGTGCCAGAACCACTGAGCTAAATCCCCGGCCCTATATGTCTGATTGTAGTTCAAAGGAAAAGAGTAGGGAAAATGGAGAAGAAGCACTATTTGAAGGGATGGACTAGAAATTTTCTAGAACTGGTGGAAGATACATTTATGTCTATGCATAATATGTGGATCTGTAGTACAGAAAGCACAAGGTTTACCAAACAGGATAATTAAAAATGAATAAATACCTAGATTAATTACAGTCAAATTTGATAACAAAAAAGACAAAATACCTTTAAAACTGTCAACAAGAAATACTCTTATAAGGAAATAGACTGACAGAAAAATGGATGGGATGTTACTTAATAGTAACAGTGAAAGCCAGTAGTCTTGGAGTTGAGGGTGACAAAACTGTTTTTCAAAGCTAAAAACAAAATAAAGACATTCTGGCTAACTAAAAATTGATAGGGATAAAGTGTATACAGTACTTCTTGATTTCAAAGCTTACTACAAAAGTACAGTAATCACAACCGTGGTGCTGTCATAAGAATAGACATAAAGAGCTAAAGAATAGAACTGCAAGTCCAGAGATAAACTATATTTACAGTTGATTTTCCTCAGGAACACCTGATAACTCAAGGCAGAAAGAAGAGTCAGTTATTCAGCAAATAGGGCCAGGGCAGCTGCATAGCCACATCCGAAAAGATGAAACAGAGTATTTGTCTTATACAATATACAAGTCAAAATGTGTCAAAGACAAATGGGAGAGTTTAAACTATAAAACTTGCCAGGGATTTAGCTCAGTGGTGCCACCACCTGCCTCAAAAGCATAAGGTCCCGAGTTCGATCTCCGGTACCAAAAAAAACCCCCCAAAAACTCGTAGAAGATGAAACAGGTGTGAATCTTCATGACCTTGGATTAAGCAACAGTTGCTTGGGCATCAAAGGTATAAGCAACCAAAGAAATAACAAATTACACCATCAAAATTTAAAAACTTTTGTGCTTCAAAGGAAACTATTAAGAATGTAAAAAAGATAACACATAAAAGGAAAAATATTTGCAAGTCCTGTGCTGCTAAGGACCTAGCAGTCATCATACAGAAAGAAATCTTAGAACGCAAAAATAAAAATACTCAAATTTTTAAATGGGTAAAGGATTTATGTCCGTGTGTGTGGTACTGCGAGATTGAACCCAAGGATTCTTTTCCACTAAGCTACACCCCTAGCCCTTTTTCTTTTTTTTTCTTTCTTTTTTTTTTTGTTTTGGTACCAGGGCTTGAACTCAGGTCCTTGCGCTTGCCAGGCAGGTGGCAGAACCACTGAGCTACATCCCTGGCCATTTTTTTCTCTTGAGATAAAGTCTCACTGAGTTGCCCAGGTGGGACTCAAACTTTCAATCCTCCTGCCTCTGCCTCCCTGAGTGCTGGGATGACAGGTGTGAGTCACTGCGCCCAAACTTGGGCAAGGGATTTGAATAGACAGTCCTTCAAAAAATACATAGAAATGATCAATTTCCAGGGGAAAGATGCTTTTTAAAAAGATGCTCAAGGAGGCCAGGGATTTAGCTCAGCGGTTCCACCGCCTGCCTCTGCAAGCACAAGGTCCCAAGTTCGATCCCTGGTAGAAAAAAAAAGCTCAACATTACTAAACATGAGGGAAATGCAAATCAAAACCACAATAAAATAACACTTCACAATCACTAGAATGGCCATAATTTTTCTTTTCTTGTGGTGCTGGGGATTGAACCCAGGGCCTCATGCATGCTGAGCAATCCACCACTGAGCTACACAGAGTGCTCAGCTATTCCTGAGAGACAGGAAAAAGAAAACTGATCATAAAAGCAAGCTCTGTTTGGATGTGGTTGCACATGCCTGTAATCCCAGTACTTGAGAGGATGAGGCAAGAGGATCATGAGTTCAAAACCAGGGTGGACCAGCCAGATTCTCTTCCCCCCAAGGAATCTGACTGCATAACTGAATTGTCCTCTATGGCCCATCCCTGGCATGGACATGTGGACAGATGATTAGAAGTGTAGACCCAATTCAAAGTGGGTCAATCAAATTCAATCCCCAAGAAAGAGCTTGGTGTGGAGGATGTAGGGAGGGTAGAACTCAGGGCTCCTACAGAGAGGAGAGACCACATAGTGAGAAGGAGATACTGAGACCTAGACTGGCCAGAGAAGAACCTAGAAAGAGGAGAAACAGAGGGAGAAATCAAGTCAGAGACAGTCTGAGAAATGGAGCATGAAGAGCAAGATTGGGTATGAGATTGGGAGAGCAGAAACCAGTGAGGATGGGAGGGAATAAGAAAGTCAAAACTAGGGGAGAGATAGCCTGGATTCTGATGCCTCTGAAGTTTCTGGTTCCAGTCCTTTCTGAAGTTAGCTGGAACCTTGTTACTTGTAATCAAGACTTCTGGCTGGGTGAGGTGTTGCCTGCTTATAATCTCAGCAGTCTGAGAGGCTGAGGCAGGAGGATTGCAATTTTGAGTCCAGCCTGGACAATTTTACAAGAAGACTGTCTCAAAAGAAAAACAAACAAACAAACAAACAAACAAATAAATAAATAAATAAAATAAAAGAGCTGGACATGTAGCTCAGTGCACTGGGGTTCAGTCCCCAGTGCTACAAACAAAAACCTTCCAGGGTGCAGTCCCCACCTCTACTCCTTGGCTCTAACCAGTCTGTCTGCAAGAAGCCACACCCATCTCCTTGTGCTGCCTCCAATTTTGCTTAAGTCCTCTCAATCCTTCCAGGCTCAGATCTTGTCCAGATATCTGGGTGACTTTTTCCTCTATCACTCCAGCTGCTTGAGCTTTCCAAATTCTGGAGAGTATTGTCTGGAAAATCCCTGTATATAAGCATCCTCCCCTAGCTTCCTGCCTGTGCTTTCCCTCCCTGACATCGGTGTCCAGCTTGCTAGAGCTCACAGTAATGAGGGGTCAGTCCCTGGACAGGGGGCTGAGACTGAACCCTAGGGCTTTGCAGAGGGCTTGATCCAGCAGGAGGAAGAGAACAACTCTAGAACCAGCAGTGATCCTGTGCACTCAAGGCATCCTGGGAACTGTGGCCATCACCTCACTGCAAACCCCCATCAGGACTTTAGAGGTCTAGAGTAGAATCTAGAACCAGCCCCTCCATTTATAGATAAGGAACTTGAGGTCTGAAGGAAAGTTACACAGCTGGCAAGTAGCACATCTGGCTTTGAAAGCAAGATGCTTAGAAACTGGGTGTCACTGGCTCAACTCAACCATATTAGGTTTTATCCTGTCTCATCAAGGTCTGTTGCTTGCACACCCGGCCTGATGTCTAGTAGGCATTGGAGAGATGTATGGTGAATAAAGAAATGAGTCAGGTGCTAGCTGCTGCCTGCCGGAGTTCCTTTATCCAGGCCCTCATTTGAGGACAGCAAGGGAAGGACGTGCACTGGGGGCCACCTTCCCAGCACCTCCCATGGCAAGGGCCTAGTGGTCAGGCCAGAGCACATGCCCTTGGGCTCCTGAACACCAACCCTTTGGCCATGGCAGTCGGGACCACCCATGGCCCAGCTGTCAGTGAGAGCTGTTTCCTGGGAGCAGAAGGGACGAAGTGGGTCGAGCTGCAATCAAAAGGCCACTAGGCCTCAGCCCTGGGTATGTTCACCTTCTCAGAAGCCATGAAGATGAGGTGCTCAGCCCGATAAGTTTCTAACTGGCTATACACTGCACCCCCAGGAGCACAGCTGGTGCTTATCTAAGAGGACAAATCCAGCACAGGCCAGAGGTGGCCATGGATTAGGGAAAGCTTTTGTCTTGATTGTACACAAGGGCCTCTCCTCCCCAGGCCCCTTTCCTGACAATGCTGGAGGGGTTGGGAGACGGGCAGTGAGTGCACCTTTCCCCCTTCCCAGCCCCCTCCAAAATTGTTCTCATACCACAACTGGCCTCTAATTTATTATATAATTTTATTTATTTTACTTTTTGGTGCTACAGATTGAACCCAGGGCGTTCCTAGTGAACTACATTCTCAGTTCTTTTTATTCTTTATTTTTGGACAGGGTCTTGCTACGTTGTCACTAAGTTGCTCAGGCTGGGCTTAAACTTGCAATCCTCCTGCCTCAGCCTCCTAAAGTGCTAGGATTACAGGCACCTGCTGCCACTGTGTCAGATTTACTATTTTAAACCAAATACCTTTTCCAGGGCTGGGGATTTAGTTCAGTGGTTCCGCCACCTACCTCGCAAGCACAAGGACCCGAGTTCGATCCACAGTACCAAAGAAAACAAATACCTCTTCCAAAAACAAAATCCTGCCCATTTGGCCAGTTGTTTTACTCCAGGAATCAGGGCATTTGTTTTTCCCTAGAGAAAAGCTGAGTGTGTTTAGAAGATCATCACTGGGGAGTAAGGTCAGCCAGCCCAGCTGGAGAAGGCAACAGGCAGGAGGAGGCTGCCAAAGGACCACTTAGCCAGCTTGCCAGACCCTGGGTCAAGCTATGTAAAAGCTCCACAGTATTGGAAAGAAAGACAAAAATCAGGACATATTCTTAGTTTTGCTCAGGAGCCCAGAACATGTTCACAACTCCAGGGATATCTGCTCTCCCTTGCAAATGGAAAATATTATCCATGAGAACAAACTTGACTCCTGGAGTGTGTGTCTACTTGCCCAGCCCTGTAACTTAAGAGACGCTGGGCCTCACACCACCTTGTGACTGTTCTCCAAGCTCCTGTGCTCACCTGAGCAGCTGGCTCACTTCAATGGTTAAAAGACAGGACAGTGACTTCAAAATCCAAGTACAGAATGTGCATTTATTGACATGCGCACTGGGCCACACTGGGCTTCCAGAAAGAGTAAAAGCAAATATAAAGGGAATCATACAGTTAGCAACCTGGTGTAACCGTGGATAGTGGGAGATGCTCTCTCCAGACTTGGAAGAGAAACAAAGATTACCCTATATTCAATAGCCTCACTTTAAATGTACACCAGGGTTCCAAATTTCAGCCAACAAAATAAGTTATTTACATTTCAAGTAAAAATATTGTTTATTTCACCACCATTTATATGTATCAGCTGTGATAAGGCTTTGTTTACATCCCAAGGAGCAGGACCAAGAACTATGGTTTATATCAGTTATTTCATCTTTAGAATCAGATTATCATTATTACAGAGGTGGGCAAAACCATACACAAAGAATGGGAAGTACATTTGCATTCGTAGCACTAAATGAAGAACTCAGCTGCAGAGTTTACCAGTAGCCAATTTCTTGTGTTTCTGTTTTTCAAAAAGCACGAAAGGGCTTTATTTGGTCATTCTGGGGACTGTGTGCCAGTTGGTATCATGGGACAAAAACAGGAAGAAACAAACAAGCAAACTGCACCAAAACAGATGTGTTTAAATTAACCGAGTGACAGCGCGTGCATCAGTCACGCTGTCGCAGGAGGTGCAGAGGAGTGTGAAGAACCACAGACTCAGTTACTCAGAGGCTGTTGAGCAACCACAGGAAGTCTCATCGAGGGGCCCCCTCCTTGCCGGCGCTGGCCACTCCTGCTTGCCCGCTGCTGCCGCCTGGAGGGGGCTCTTCCTTGCAGGGTGCCTGCAGCAGGGGCCCAGGCTGGGGTGCTTTGGAGGTACTGGAAAGCACTCTGGTGGCCCACCTGCCTCTCTGCACAGGTAAAGGTGAGGGCCACACCCACATTGCTCTTCATGATTCTGGAGGAACCATCAGAGGTGCCATCAAAGCACCGGCCAAGGGCAATCTCCTTGGCTGTGCGAGGGTCCTGGTCTGTGACTGTGTAGATGCCATAGTTGTGGCCCAGCGGGTCCAGGGGTGCCAGCATGGTGTACTCGCTGGTGTCATTGTTGACTGCCAGTGGGAGGTGGTTGACCAGATACTCGTGCAGCATGGAGTTCACGCTGGCTCGACGGCAGCTGCCCTGGGGAATGACTTTCACCAGTGTGCGGTCCACACGGTCCTGGTCGTAAAGCATCCCACTGCACTTGAACTCGAGACATGCGGCTGAGACATTGGGCTGGTCCCTGTCTCGAGTGCTCTTCACATCCCGGATCCCATAGAGCTTCCCCACTGTCCGCCGGTGGGTGCCCCCCATGTTGCGGGATCGCACATTCACCTCCAATGGCCCCACGACCTTCACTTTGATGTAGCAGGCCCTGAACTCCATGGGCTTGGGCCACCATGCCAGGTAGTCTTCAGTCCAGCTCATGGGGTCATCTTCATTAAAAGGAACTGTGTTATAATCATACCGATCCCCCTCAATTTGGTAGAACCGGAAGTGGGCCGCACTGGGAGGTGCCTCCTCACAGGCCCGAAGGTTCTCAAAGGCGTAGATGGGCCCATTGCTCTCTTCGGCTGAGTTGGGCCTTGGCTTGGCCATGCTGATCTGGAAGGCTGTCTTTTTAACCCGGGGGTCCTCGTGGTCTGTGCGACGGTACTTGAGTTTGTTGAGGTAGGGCTGAGGGACACCAATTGCATTGGGGTTGAATTTCGGAGAAGATTCCACTGCTTCCAGCTCCTCCCCACTCAGGGTTGCCAGGACATAGGCGGAGTAGGCATCAGGGGCCTGGTCGTCACAGAAAGCAGGCACACAGGCCCCACTGGGCCCTGTGAGGACACTGTCAAAGCGGCCCCAGGCCCGAGGGTTGGACGAGAAGCCAGTTCTGGGCTCCAGGTTGATCACAGAGACCACGACGCCCTGGATTTGCTCACTGGGCAGGAACCTCTCACTCCGGTAGGCCCTCACCTTGATAAAGCACCTCCTGCTCTCGGGGACATCCAGGTTAAAGAGCCTCCTCTCTCGGATCTCCAGGTTACCCACCAGGAAGGTCCTGTCTTCCCTTTTGGTCCTCCTTTGCCTTTCAAATTTGAAATCGCCTTCTTCCTCCCACAGCCCCGTGTCGGGGTTGAGTGACCAGAGTTTCATCGCGGGCACGTGTTCCGGCATTTTGACCTGGGTGGAGTCGAGGTGGACCTTGACCTTGCCAGCATTCAGTGGCTCTAAGCTGGCCTCATCTCTGAAGTCCACAGAGAACATCCCATACGTCCGCAGGGGGAAGGTGTCTCCTTCATCACTGATGAAGTTCAGGTCACTCTGGGTGGCAGTGGCCGTGGCAATATCTCTGGGATCCAGGAAGGTCACACTGGCCTTCACTTTTCCTGTGTAGGGCTCTCCATTCTGCCTGTAGAAACTCCCAGATGGGATCTCTAGTTCAGCCATGGGGTCTTCGCCAGCCACCTCTCCCAGGGGGATGACGTTGGTCTCCATGGCGTGCAGAGTGACGGGCTCCTTCCGCCGAAGCATCTTGATCTCGTGGAACACCGCACTCCCCTTCCTGTGGAAGGGCAGGACCTTGGTGGTGTTGACAAATTTCTGTAGCCTGTCCACGAAGGTCAGTACCAGCCTCTCAGTGTCCTGGGGGACATGGAGGGTGAAAGTGCCCTTGTAGCCCGTCATGCTCACACGGTTACCCCCCATGTACACGTGGCCGAAGCGCATGGGCTCCCCGGTGTCTGCCGCGCTGACTCGGCCCCGGACGATGCTCCGTGTCTCTGTACACCGCTGGCAGCTGCACTCTTTGGCCACCTTGGTGGGCAGCGTGTACCCACTGCACTGGATCTCCTTCTCCTCCGTTTTGGAGATGCCACAGCAGTTCTCCACGGCATCCCGGCACCTGATCCCATTATCCTGCTGCCCTGCACAGGTCTTGATGGGACAGCGGCCCACGTCATAGTAGAAGGAGTTGGTGGCATTCTGGAAGCAGTCATGGGGCAGCCGGATAAGGTAGCTCTCAGGGGTTGGGTTGCAGGGATTCTCATTGGGGGCTGAGGAGGAAATGGTGCGGATGTTAAGATGCAAGTTCACGTCCCACACGGGGTGCCTCAATGTCACCTCTCTGCAGTGTCCGAGGGACTTGCGTATCTGCAGCTCTGCTTCTCACAAAGCTCTTGGAGGGAGATGGGGCTGCTATGATCAATCCCATCTTGCACGCAGGGAAACGGAACTGGGTGCTGAGACCATGAGTTAGTGGTTCTCTACGGAGGGCTCTGCAAGTGTGTGAGGGGCTTTTGGGGTTACTACCAAAATCAGAGGTGCTATGGGCATACGGGGGCAAGGACTGAGTGCTGGGATCATAGGCATGTGCTTCCTGATGTTTCATGGCTGGCAGTCCCTGGCACTGATTCACTTGAAAAGTTTTTTGTGCATCTTGTATGATTTCACGCACACCCAATGGGACATTCACATGGAATGAGTGGAAAAATCTCTTGAAAATGATTATGATTATAGCCTGGTATGTTTTACTTGGCCTCAACCACACAATGAATTTTTCAAGAATACAGCTACCATATGAATCGATCTAAGATTGCACTCTGTTTAGCTTGGAACGGTACCAAGAATATTCCCTCATTTCAGAAAAATCAACACGACCTGGCATTTGTCACTATCACATTTGTGGTTACTCTGGATTCAAGTGCAAGTGTCTGACCTCTTGGTTTATCTGTGTCATTGTATCAAAGCATTTAGATACTGCAACAATACTTTGTGTATTAAAACCTCTCTCCCACTGTCTCTGTCTCTCTTTTACTTTTTTTTTTTTGGTATGGGGTATTGAACTCGGGACCTTGCACTTGTGAGGCAGGCACTGGAACCACTGTGCTAAATCCCCAGCCTCTCTCATTTTGTTTTGTGAGACAGAGTCTTGCTATGTAATCCAGGCTGGGTCCCCCCCCCCCCCGCCGTACCCGTAATTGATCTCAGGACCTTGCACTTGCCAGGTGGGTGGGGAGCCACTGAGCTACATCCCCAGCCCTCTAGGATGGCTTTCAAATCACTGTATAGTCTAGGCTGGCCTTGATCTTATGGTGATCCTCCTGCATCAGCCTCCTGAATGCTGAGATTATAGGGGCATGCCACCACTGCTAGATTTATTTCTCCTTTTTTATAATTAGGACCATATGCTTATATACTTAGAAATTCTATATAGTTACTATCTATAAATTTGAACTTTGAAATAGTAAATCAGTGTGTTGTTGTTTTTTTTAAGTCACTATGCCAGCCAGGTGTAGTGGCACACACCTGTAATCCCAGCACTCAGGAGGCTGAGGCAGGAGGATGGCAAATTTGAGGCCATCCCAGTCTACACTGTGAGTTAAAGGCTGGTCTAATCTATACAGAGACCTACTCCAAAAAAAAAGAGAGAAATCACCACACCAAATGGGAGCATTGGTGTGAGGAACTGGGATCCACTCCTAGGGGCTCCTTATCTCCTCTGCTGAGAACCAAAGGCTCAGTCTTGTCTTTTCTGTGGTCTGTTGCTCAAATGCCTAGCAGTCTATACAATATTCCAGAATTCTTCCAATAATACTCTCTTCCTCTGTGTTTTTATTTTTGTTGTTGTGTTTTGTTTAGGCTAATTGTGCTCGCTTCAGCAGCACATATACTAAAATTGTTTAGGCCAGTTACTAAGATATCTTCTCTCTCCTTCACTTTCCAAGGACAGGTTTCCAGCAGGCCTGTGGCCTCAAATCCCTTCCTCTCTAGTTTTCTTCTAGAAGCCAGCTGTAATCAGGTCACCTTTTTTATTTGTTTTACATTTGTGTGGGGGAGGGTATTGGTTTTAGGCTTGTTTTGTTTTGTTGGGGGGGAGGGGTACTGGGGGTTGAACCCAAAGCCTTTACACTGAGCTACATCCCCTGCCCATTTTTAAAATTTTGGGATAGAGTCTTGCTGAGTCACTAAATTGCCCAGGCTAGGCTCAAACTTTCAATCCTTGATCCTCCTGCCTCATCCTCCCAGAATGCTGGGGTTACAGGCCTGTGTCATCACACCTGATTAAATCATCCTCTTTTTTTAGATCATCCTTTCTTATACAGCCCCCAGGTTCCCCACTTTTGTGCTCCAGTCCAGGCTGGCACCTTGGTCTGGAATACCTCCACACACAGTTCCTGCCCATTCTTTTTTTTTTTGGTACCAGGGATCGAACTCAGGACCTTGCGGTTTCAAGGAATATGGCAGCACCACTGAGCTAAATCCCCAGCCCCTCCTGCCCACTCTCTAAGACCATGGGTTCACAACTTTGGCTGTAAGTTAGAATCACCCAGGCATCTTTTAAAAAAAATTTTTTTTGAGACAGGGTTTCACTATCTAGTCCAGGAAGGCCTCAAACTCACAGTGATCCTCCTGCCTCTGCCTCCCTCCCGAGTGCTGGGATTACATGCATGCACCGCCAAGTCTGGCTACCCAGGCATCTTTTTTTTTTGGTACCAGGAATCAAACTCGGGACCTTGTGCTTTCAAGACAGGTGGCAGAACCACTGAGCTAAATCCCTGGCCCTACCCAGGCATCTTTTAAACCATGCACACCCAGGCCACATCCCAGGTTAAATCAGATGCTCTCAGTGTAAGGCAGGGGCATCAATATTTTTTTAAACTATCAATAGACGATGCCAATAGGCAGCTAAGGCTAAAAACCACGGTTTAAGCCTTAGCTGAAATCAGCTCCCTAGAAGGTATTTGTCTCTGATCTGTCAGAATCCACAGCCCCATTTCTCCTGTTTTAGCTAAATTTTTCTGACTTTGTCTCTTATTTACATTTCTTCACCCCTCCTCAAATGGTGGCTCTGTGACAACAGGATTCAGGTCTCCGCCATCTCTGGGTCCCAGAGGGCACAGTACTGTGCACAATTTAAAGAGGCCCGAGCATTCACTGCCCAGTTATGTTCCCAGGGTGCTCAGCCTCCCCTGCTGCAGACCCGAGACCCGGGGAACCCAGACAGGCTCACCTGTGACTGTCAGCTGGGCGACCTGCGACTTTGCAGCTCCCGAATCGCTTTGCGCCTTGCAGAAGTACTCTCCGGCCTGCTCCAGCCGTACTTTCCTCAGCACCAGCTTGCCCTCCAGCTTGTAGAGGGAGGGATCCAGCAGTGTGTTGTTGTGATACCTGCGAGGTATAGAGAGGAGGGACCGTGGGAGGGAGATGAGATGGGTGGATGGGTTCCTGCAGATGCCAACATCACTTTGGACTTGGCTTAGCCCAGAGCATGGATCAGCCTAGGAGTCAGGGGCCTTGGTTCTAAGTCCCAGCCCCACCACTTAGATGGCTGTGAATCCTTGAACCGATCATCTCAGCTTCCGCTTCCGGGTCTATAAAATGGCCCCACTGGTCTCCAGCTGACCTCACAGAGTTGCTGGGATTGCAAAAGAGTGGCTGTGAAAGGTGATGAGCCAGCCAGCTTCGAGGGTGCAGGAGGGCTCGATGGTTGCCTGGGCAGCTTCAAGCCTGCTGGCTCTGCCTGTCGGCGCTAACACCCAGGCTCTGCGCTGGTGCCCGACTTCTCACTATCCTACTGGTGATTGTTGCAGAAACCTCTGGTTTCCGAGAAGAGGAGAGGGCAGGGTAGCTGGCAGAATACGCACCAGAAATACTTGTCCGGACTGGGCATCCCCGTGGCCTTGCAGCACAGGGACACGCTCTGCCCGGCTCGCCGCGCCTTGATCTCGGGGTTCATCACGATGTATGGAGTCTCTGGGACACCAGATGAGAAACAGTGTTTAGTCTTTTCTTTGTGATGGGTTCTTGAAGTTATTTGAATTTTGTGGCTCCCCAGCCCACCTCTGATGCTCCTAATACCCACGGGACTTGGTCCACAGTGGAGTCCCCCCTTCCACCATCTCAGCCTGGGACTCCAGGAACCCAGTGACCCCGTGGGGCCCCAGGGACCTTGTGCCAGCCACAATGCCTAAGTACGACCAAAGGGACAGAACTGGCCATTTTGAATAGTGAGATATTGGTGTTCTGCTGGCCTTGGCCTTGACAACTTTTTTTTTCTTTTTGGCCATTCTGCACGATTTCTGAGCTCCTCCTCTCTCTAAGACCTCCAATGCTCACACTGTATTGTAATGAGCTGTTTTAGATAAAGTGGTCTGGAAAACCCTCATACGTTAGGAACAGGACTTCCGATATCTGGAGAAAGAACATGCTATGCTGTGTATACACCAAGTGCAAAGGCCCTGTATTTGAAGAACAGGTAGGAGGCCTTTGTGGCTGGAAAAGAGTGACTCCATGTGGGAGGAGTGATAAGAAAAGAAAGCAGAGAAATAAGGGAGGGCCAGATTGGGGCCCTGTGAGCCACACTGAAGACTTTGGGTTTCACTCCAGCTGAGGCAGGAAATCAGCTCTTAGCACCCAGAGAGCTTCATACCTGCCCTCACGAACTCTGCACTGATGGTAGCTGACTTCAGCTTGGTCTTGGGCATTGTGAGCACAATGGGGACAAACTGGGTCTTCGTGATCTTCAGCTTGCTTTTGCCATCGGGGCACAAGCCAGGGACTTGGAACCTGCCACTGCTGTCCGTCTGGGTCAGCGTCTTCGGCGTCTTGGTCAGCAGGTAGACGGTGGCCCCTGAGGCTGGGTCACCGCCAGGGAGGGAGACAGCTCCATGGAGCCTGAAATCCTCACACATGCAGGCATCACACTCAGCATTCACCCGGCCCATGGGGCAGGCCAGGTCACAGGCTGTGGTATAAGGAGCCATATCAGAAGGCGTGTGTGGATTCTAACCCTCCTTCACTACACCTCAGCCTGCAGCCTCGGTTGGGCTTCCCTTTCCCCTTTGCCACTCTTTATTATCAGCTGCTAACTCTTACTCATCCTTTCAGACTGAGCCTAGGACACCTCCTCTAGCCTTCCTGGATTTCTCTAAGCTATGATCATTCCCCTGCTCTGTGTTCCCCACATTATCCTACAGTTCCATCAGAGACATAGTAGAGACTCAGTTAATACCAAGGGGGTGCACAAAAGAACCCATCTCAGACTGACCCTCCAACTACCCATCCTTTCAGGCTGCTTCAGCCTCATTCACTACACCAGCCCTGGCGCCAGAGGGAGAGTGGTACCTGCACAAGCCTGGCTCACACAGAGCTGGCCCTCTTCAGCGGCCTCACTGCACAGTGACACTGTCTCCGCCAGGCAGGTGCGCGTGCGGGTCTGGACCCCCATTTCACCACAGGGAGCTGAACAATTGCTCCAGGGAGACCAGGGACCCCAAATGCGCTCTGTGTCCCGCCGCAGGGAACCTGCAAAATGAGATCAGTGATGACCTAACCTCCCTCCCAAAGTGGCCCTGAGAGGGCTTGTTGCCAAGCACTGGGGTTTGATTCACTGTCTCAGAATATTCAGGGACAGTACCAGCTTCCTTCTCCCAGAGGTCAGGGGCTACATTAACATGGACTCCAGCCCTCTCTGCCCACCCCCTTCCCTCTGGTCTGAGGCAGAAGACGAGCCTGAGTCCCCACTGACATGGGCTCTATGGGTACCTAGGCCTGCAGCATCAGGCTGTGTGAACTGGCAGAGCCCTAAAGAGGAGGGGGGCCATCCATAGGAGCAGGCCTGCAGCTGGTGCCCAACATCTGAATTACCCGGGGCAGGGAAGGGCAGGGCAGGGCAGGATGTCAAGAACATGGACTCTGCAAACACAGATAGGGTGCAGACCCTGGCTCCGCACTTATCAGCTGCAGTATTGTGAGATGGTACTCAGCTTCTCAGCATTCCATGCAATGGCCAAGAGGACACAGTGCAAAGGTCAATGGGAGAGGAAGAATAGGAAGTGACTGGCATGTAGGGGCAGTAACAGGAACCAGCACTTTGTGAACTGGGGTCGCACCCTCTACATTCATGATTTCACTTATTCCTCATCAAAAAATCCTTATGGGATTTACAGTTAGCCCTGCTGCACAACTGAGAAACTGAGGCTAAGAGAATTGCAGAAAACTGGCCTTGGGAACTCAGTCCCGAGTGGTAGGCTTAGGATTCAAAGCCCTGAAGTTGCTCTAGGCTGCTTGAACTTAACACAACTTGATGGAGGGGACCCATAAGCAGAACACTAAGGGGAGCTTCCTGTAGGACTCACCTGGCCGGCAGAGGAAGCGCACTGTGTAGTTGGAGCAGTTCCTGCCAGGCCGCTGCTCTCGGTTGAGGCACCAGAAGCCCTCCCGGGGACTGCTGTGGACCACCTGGCCGCTGCTGCCCGAGGGTATCCAGTCAGTGGTCCGAGCCTCCAGCCGCAGGGGGCGGGTACACACGCGGTCTCCGTAGTAGAAGCGAATGGCATCCAGCCGCTCAAAGTCACCCTGCCCACCTGGGTGGTCAATGTTGAACCATGCCGTCCACTCCCCAGGACCTGAAGGACAGGGAAGGTTGGGGAGCAGCCATCCCTGGGGGCACAAGTGAGCTGGGTTCTTCCTGCTCAGCCTCAGAAGTCCTCCCTGGTACCACTCACCTGGCCCTGGTTGATTATGTCCTCAGCATCTCTCCAATCCTCCCTCTGCCTCACCATGCCAAGACCACATCAGCCTGATAGAACCTTGCCAGTAACTCCCTGCCCAGCCTCTCTGCCCCAAGGTTCCCCCTCCCTCCATGCCTCACCTCCCCAGGAGGCCAGGTGAGATTTCTCCATGTAGCCTGGACCACAAACACCACTCTTTCCACTTTATAATCCCTTAGTAGTTAGGTGTGGTATTGCACATCTCTATTCCTGACTCTGGGAGGCTGAGGCAGGAAGATCACAGATTTGAGCCTAGTCTAAGCAATTTAGCGACTTAATAACACCTTGACTCAAAATTTACTAAATAAAAAGGACTGGGGATATAGCTCAGTCCAGAAGCCACACATTCAATCAATCCCTAGTACTTCAAAACAAACAAACAAAAACAAAAGACATGCCTTTGCAAGGCATTGGGGCGGTGAGCTGACCCCTACTCTCTCTCCATCCTCATGTCCCTTTTCTCCCCACAAGCCTGTGCTGAGTTCCCCACTCTACAGCATTCCTGGGAGATACCAGGCAGCTTCCTGATTCTGAGCTGTCCTATACCATGTCCCTCTGCCAAATGCCTCGTGAAACCCTGGCATCATGCTCCAGTTTCAGAGATCCCCTTGGCAAACTCGGTAAAACCCCAGCCCTCCTGGCCCCGCCCGCTCCAGCCACAACTCACTCTCCTGGGCATCAGCAGGCTTGGCAAAGGCACCAGGGGTCCTCTTCCCAGGCTGGACTCTTCTCACTCCCTGGGTGAGCATTGTCTGCCTCCCTGAGGGCCAGGACAAGAAGAAGCTGAGCAAGAAGCCAGGACTAAACAGGAGCCTCTCAAAATGCAGGGAAACAGTATGGTATGCTGGATGGAACATGAGCTCCGGACACGGGTTCGAATCCTCACTCTGCCACTTACTGCTATGCAACTTCAGAAAGGCTGTATTTCTCTTTTTTCCCACAAGGCAGGGATCCATTAAAACATCACAATGACATAAGGTCTAGTACATTATTGGGAGCAATAGAGCTAGCATGGGGTGCATGCATGGGGTGCATGCTTGGTGAATAGCGTTCTCATTCATGTTCTAGAAATGGAGCATTAGTGGACTGGTCTTCTTCATCTTGGTAAGACAGCCTCTGTGAAACACAGATACTAACTGCCACCTAATAGGGCCATTTTGGCAAGAGCATTCCATGAGATAAACATAAACATGCCTCAAGTCCATGAAGATGAGAGCATTGTGACCTCTGGCAAGCCACTCCAGCCATCTGGCCCCATGTTCTCTCATCGTAAAATGGGGACAATAATGCTCCCTGCCTTAGGGGATTGCGGGGATTACAAAGGCTCACTCATAAAGGCCACTTAACAATAGCTACACAGAAGTATTAGCAACTCCCTTTAGCTGAAAGTCTGGCTCCATAAACATCCCTCTCCCTTTCCTTGGCAGATGGACAGAAATGGGCTGGTGGTTCTCAGGCTGTGGGGTTCGCTGTGGGGTTTGCCCACAAGGAATAAGAACAAGGTCCTGAGGCCATGGGCAGTTGCAGCCCTACTCCACCAGGACCAGAGCTGCTGGGTGGGAATGGGAAGGAGAGGGGAGCACAGATCTGCAAACGTCTTGAAAGGCAATTAACTCCCAGGCCAGGAGCCAAATCAGAATTCTCTGAGCTGCTTAATTGGGGTGATAGGAGCTCTTTTAATCAAGCTAATCTGATTTCCCCTCAGATGGCTGAATGTTAATCATCTTCCCAAACAGCAGCTGACTGGGTGGCGAGAGCAGGCAGGAGGCGGGGCACACAGGGCTGGGTGTTGCGCTGAGACAGCCTTTGTCCCCTGCATCTGTGCTCACAAAGCCTTTGGGGCAGGCCGCTTGAGAAGAGGGTTTCCAGTTTTTGGGTTTTTTTCCTTTTTTCTTTTTTCTTTTTTGCATTATCTGAGTATGAGATTGGAAATGAGAAGAGGAAGGGGAGGTGGTAGAGAGTGTAGGGCAGGGTACTGAGGCTCTGGGGCTTCCACAGGGAAGCAGGCAAATTCTCTCTCATTCTCTTTCATTTTGCAGAGCTCAGTGTCACCGGGTCGGGATCAGAGGGCAAGGAGACCAGAGAGGTTCTGGTGTGTCTGCAAAATTTGATCCAAATGAAAGTAGGCTTTAGGCCAGAAGAATCCTCATGACGCTAAAAACTGACCAAACCCCAATCTGCTTCCGAGAGTTCAGTGATCTCCCGTGACTCCCTTTTGCTTTGGCTGCCAGGAAGCTCAGAGCTCAATTTAGTACTCAGGGGCAGTAACTCTCCTATCTTTTCTCCTCCCAAGGTTCTGTTCTGTGAGTTTTAATATTGGGAACTATCAGATGGGTATGTAACCTGTAACCCCAGAATTCTGGGAAGCTGAGGCAGGGAGATGGCAAGTTGGAGCACAGCCTGGGCAACTTAGCAAGTTAGCGGGCCCTGTCTCAATATAAAAATTTTTTAAAAGGGACGAGATATAGCTCAGTGCAAAGGCCCCAGGTTCCATCCCAAGCACCAGGAAAAAAAAAAAAAAAAAGAGAGAGAACTATGTGAAATAAATCTATCACACAGCCCCAGGTCTTAAGGTCACTGCTGTCTTAAGGCAGATGCACAGACAGATCCCAGATATGACTTCGCTATGGCTAGGGCAGATTTGGGAGGTAGCAGATACTCAGCCTGTACCCAACACAGAGGCAACTTGCAAGACCAGGAAGGAGAACAGCCAGGCATTGGTCCCCTCCATCTTCCCCCTAGCCCTGTGAGAACGTGGCAGGAGAGTGTGAGAGGGCTTCACAGAACCAGAATGTGGTTCCGGAATGTGGTTCCCTGGGAGGTTTCTCAGATCCGGTGACCTACAAAGAAACAAAGCTTGTCAGACCCCACATTTCTGAGTCAGCCCTCATGGCTCGAATACAGAGGTATTTCTTGACCTGTTGAGGATGGAAAGACGGACAGAATGAAGTCTTGCAAGTGGGATAGCTGCTTGAGTTGTAAAACTGAGCAGCTTGGGAGAGGTAGAGGCTCTGGATCTGAGTTCACACAAGGCTGACCCAGGGGCCGGGGCTCACTCCCAGTGGCCTCACATCCAGACCCAGGCTTGGGGGCCCCTTGGTGAGGCTCACACTCTTGCAGAAGAGGCCATGCAGGCCTGTCTCGACCACAGTGGCCCCTCCTAGGCAGGCAGGCTGAAGGCACAGATGCCTCAGGCCTACCACCTCCAGGAATACATTCCCAGATGTGCACAGGCTGCAGCTGGAACACATTCTGCTTGCTTGTTTGGGGCCTGGCTGGGAGTTCCACAGCTAGAAGCCAGTTGTGGGAAAGCAGAGGGGGTACAGTGTGAGAAGCCAGGGCTCCCTAATACTTGCTGAGCATGGGGTAGGGGCTGCAGGGTGTGGAGAGGAAAGCAGGCCTGGTAATGCAGGTTAAGGAACCATAGGGCATGTGTGGCCCAGGCTCTTGCTTAGCAGGACATTTTTCTCTCTCCTCAGAGCCCTGGCCAACCCAGAATCAAAAAATGGTTCCCTTTAGTCCCCAAAGTCTAGAGTGTAGGAAAAGAAAAGTTTCTCCTTTCTGGACAAAAGATCCAGAAACTCTTGGATGCCCCAGAGGAAGAAACAAAAACAGTTCCACAATGCAGACCATCTAGCCCTAAAAGCCCTAACTCCCATCCCCTCTCAGTCCAGGAACAGAGTCCCCAGGAGGTCACATCTCCAGTGAGTGTGGGACTCAACCCAAGCCCTGGGCTCTGAGTGGGAGCTGAGTGGGCTGTAGGCCTGCACAGCACTCAACCTGAGCTGGTTCCAGTGCTGTCAGAGAGCTGAGGTGGCCTGGGGCACCTTGTGGAAAAACCATTTCCCATCTGGCAGCTCATGGAGGTTTCTCAGCCTCCCGCTGTCCCCCAGTACATGTCTGACGGTCAGGCTCCCCAACCCACGCACCTCCAAGCTCTTGGACCACGGATGCCGGCTGGCTCCAGGAACAACGCAGGGCACCCACAGGTATAGAGACCCAGAGTGGGGCCATTTGTGGGGTTTCTGACCTCAGATGAGGGAAGGAGAGGACTCTGGGGCACTTGGGGGAAAGAACTTCAGAGCAGAAATGGGAGTCTTCTGTGGAAGATGAGGGGTCAGCCAGCAAAAAACCAGAAATGGGGTGGTTGGGGAGAATAGCTAAGAAAGGCAGTGGGTACAAAGATGAGGGAGGGACTTGGGAGTGGAGCTCACCCGTCCTGAGCAGGTCTCCTTCGCTGGGGGTCCAAGTCCTCACTACTGCAGCTGTCTAGCCGCAGGCCTTATATAGGCCAGCTGGTGGCTCAGCCTGTGGCAGGCAGCCATGGGAAGCAGCGGTGAAACCAGATCTGAGCTTGAGCCTCCCTCCCCTCCCCACGTCCCCTGCAGCTCACAGAAGCCAGGATCTCACATCCAGATCCTTTGGGGGCCTGCAGATGGCCCAGGTGGGCAGCTTCCCAGGGCTGTCCTGGCCAGGGCAGAAATAGGGGTCAGACTGTGGGCTGGGCACTAGGAACAGCCCTGGGAAAGGGCCAAGGGGAATTCTCCAGCGGAGCAGGACTTCGTGGCTTTAGAGATGATGTGCTCTTGCCTAAGTGCCACTTGCTGATCCCGGCATTCCCTGGCCCTGGCCCACCCGTGCAGGAAAGGACTCTGCTGCTCTTAGCACATACCCGAAGCTCCCTTCGGCACACAGGCCTCTCTACTGGGTGTGTCTGCCTCAGCTGGACAACTGCTCAGCTTCTCTGGCCTCCCAAGGAGCGCAAAGGACAAAGGAATTGTGGGGCCCAGTTTGTCACCTAGCGAGACGTTGCCCCTCCCTGCTTCCATCCAGGCGCTGCTTATACTTGTGTAGATCCCAGAGCCCAGCACTCGGATCCCTCAGAGACCTGCCGGATGCTCATATATGCATCTCACTTCCGGGACAAGCACCCTAGGCAGCTGCCTGTGCTTTGGGCTTTCCGGCTCCAGCACCAGCCAGACTGTGTCTCTTATTCTAGCCTGCATCCAATGGCCTGGAAGGCTGTTAAAACACAGATTTCTGGACCCACACCCAGAGTTTCCAATTCAGTGGTGCCCAAGAGTGCATTTCTGTCCAGCCTGCCGGTGCTATTGAAGTTACTGGTTCTTGGACCACATTTTGAAAATTACCGTTCACAAGGACAGAGCCTCTCAGAGGATGAAGAGAGAGCGTACTGGAGACCACACCGGTACTGCCCGAGTCCTGCCTCATGCTGCAGTCTCATCCTACCCGGTCTGGGCTTCCTGCCTCCTGCCAGCGCCTGGAGGAGGAAGTCTGGCCCTGTGGTCTTCCACACCTGGGTCACTCTTTCCACACACCCTCGCTGAGCTCTTATTCTGCCAGGCTCTAGGCTGGGCACTGGGGAGCCACAAGAAAGAGCCTCACATAAAAATGATTCCATGGCGTAGCCGCTAACCCTCACACCGGAAGCCGTGTACATGGGCCAACACCTGCTTATGTCTGCCTTTTTCTTTCTTTTTTTTGGTACCAGGGATCGAACTCAGGGTCTTGCCCTTGCAAGGCAGGCAGCAGCACCACTGAGCTAAATCCCCGGCCCCTGTCTTTTTCTGTCTGTGCTCTTCCCTGTGGGTTAGCAAGGGCTTAGGAGCTCTGTTTTCTCTGAACACTGCCCTGGACAGGCACTGTTGGGGAAGAGAGCACGATTGGAGAAAGGATGCTGAGCAGCAGCAGTGCCTTAGCTGTCTGATTTGCTTTCTCTCCTGGAGCCTGGTCTCCCTTCCAGCCTCCAGCCCTTGGCCATAGGCCCTGTAGCCTGCCTCATCCTCATCCAAACTGTCACAGCCAAGCCATGAAGCAGCTTCTGCCATAACTTTGACAGCAGATGTCTGTCCTGAGTCAGTCTCACGTGAGCACTAGTACTATGAGGACAGACACAGAGACAGGCTGAGGCACAATCGCCAGAACAAAGGGCAGGAGATAAACAGGAACTTGGAAGTCAGAAGCCCAGTCCTGGCTCTGTCATTGATTCTGATGTGCCACCTTGGACCAGAAGCAATCCAAGTCACCCTGGACCTCGGTGTCCCCAGCCCTTTCCTCTCTTTCTATAGTAGGAGGCAGGATACCATTGGAGATGAGAATTTGCCAAAGTAAAGCTCTTTAGGCCAGGATTCCTGTCTGGGTCTCCTTGCTTGCCCTAGCACTCAGAGGTTCACCCAAGGGGCCAGTGAGTTTCGCTGTGGTTGGCACAGGTGAGGGAACTCTGAGCTAGAATCTCTGGGTTCTAATTCCAGTCCTGGCTTTTGTGTTCCCCTAGCTCATATCCTTGTTGCCTCCATACTCCCATCAGGTCTTTTTCTGCTCATAAGGCGAACCGAACTATGAACAGCAAAGGGCTAGACTCCAGGAACCTCAGCCTACCCCAAACTGCTCTCCCAGAACTCCTTTGAAGAGGCTGCTGCTGAGCCACAATGGTCCCCTTGCTGTCTGTCCCCAGGACAGAGAGAACTTGGGAGGTGGCCATAGGCCTGGACTGTCCAGGGCCTGGCCTGGATGGGTGAGCCTCAGTCCCGAGTCGCCACCTGGGGCTCCTGCAAGCCAGGCCATTCTGAAGCGGTTCCAAGTCCCTGTCTGGAACACACTGGAAATTCATCAATCACCCCCACCCCTGCCTAGGGGATGGACAGACTTGGAGCCTAGTTTAGCCAGGCCACTTGTGACTCAAACTATAGCCAGGGGTCCCCACCCTGCTGTCAGGAAAGGAGGTTGGGAATGGTTGGAGGGCTCTGACCTGGTTCTAATGGCTAAAAAGACAGGGCAGTGTCTCTAATCTATCCAGACTGCCTCCTCCAGGAGTGGCCCAAGGAGGCTTTGCAGGCCTGGATGGGGACAGTCAGCTGATTGATGAGCTTTGGAGACTGGAGCCCAGGGCTGCCGCTCTGAGACCATAAGGGCTGCTGACCCTCTGCCTGGGACCCCAGAGACGCAGAGTCCAGGGTAATGGGGGCCTCAGCCTCTGGCCAAGACACTCTCCTCCCTGTCTTAGGTAATATGCCACTGTTCTATCTCTGTACCTTTACAATTTTATTCCCCAGCTTCCTGTCTTGAAATACAGACCTTCCTCCCAACCAATGTGAATGTCTCCATCTTTCAACACTCTGGCTCAGTCTCCTCCCTCCTCCTTCTCTGATGACCCAGGCCCATGTTGACTATTTCCATCTCAGCTACTAATGTTCCACCACATGTAGATGGCACTCCATAATTTACAAACCGCATTCATGGTGATCTTATCTTCAGTCTCACAGCGAACCTGCAAGGTAATGATGACTGTGCCTGTTTTACAGAGGAAGAACTGAGGCTCAGAGAGGTGAAGCCACTCGGGCACAGTAGACTGTCCGCTCAAAGCTGCCCCTGGGGACCAAGAGTCTAATGCAGAGCTTGATATGGGAACCTCAGCCCAGAGGAGCCATGTGGAAATCACACTCATCCTGCTTCCTGCACACACACTCATCTAAAGATGTTCCTAGCTGTCATGATCCAGCTATTTAGTAGATTGTGGTGGATTAAACATGGCCACAAAGTCCTTGCTACTCTTCATTATGAGGTGGGGCCTCTGTTCACTTCTGTGACTTAGGCTGGCTTTGCGATTTGCCTGGAATAAAGAAATATGACGGAAGTGATGGTAGACACGTTCTGGAAACCCTCACTCTCATAGAATGACCTTTATCACATATGGAAGTTCAGTCTAGCCTACTGCGGGAGGAGTGAGTGTTGCCAATCAGTTAGGGGCTCTTTTGCTCAATTCGGATGGAAATCGAAAATCTATGAAGGGCAGTTCTGCTAGTAGCTCCAGAGGCCTTGAGTGCCAGTGGCCCTCCTTGGTGTGACAGCCCTGGGGACTCCAAGGCAGGCCACAGTGCTATGGAGCCAAGACTCTAAGCCACCCCATCAGGTCCTCAGCAGTCAGGGTTAATCCTTGGCGGCTACTGGGAACTCTTAACAGTTTCCGCTGATCTCCATGATGCCCATCAACTGCCAATCAATGACTGATATCCCTCTGGTCTCTAGAACTCTTCAGGGCCAGCCCCTTCAGATTTACAGAACCAAGGAGCAAGGCTTTATTTAGACGGGCCTGCACTGCAGTCCAGCAACATCTGGACAAGGGAAGTGTGATGGGAGAGCTACTAACATAGGCCTGTGATTGATCCAAATTTGAGCTTGCTGATTGGTCCAAATTCAAAGCTCGGTGGCCAAGGCAGGCATCTTCCCAGGTCACTGCAGGCTTTCAGGAGAGCCATAGCCAAATTGTGGGGGTCAATCAAAGCACTCCCCCTTCTGGCTGTCAGAGGGAAAAGGAAAGTGTCAGGCTGGCTCACATGCGGCTCAAAATCACAGATAAAACAGGATGGTGACACACACCTATAATCCCAGCACTCTGGAAGGCTGATGCCAGAGGACTGCAAATTCTAGCTCACCTTGGTCAATTTAGCAACTCAGTGAGAAAAAAATAAAAAAACTGTTGGGAGTGGTGGTGGAGGCCTGTAATAATCTCAGCATTTAGGAGGCTGAGACAGGAGGACTGCTGTGAGTTCAAGGCCAGCCTGAACTGCAAAGTGAGAGCCTGTCAAAAGAGAGAGAGGAAGGATGGAAGGAAGGAAGGAAGGAAGAAAGAAAAGAAAGAAAAGAAAAGAAAAGAAAGAAAAGAAAGAAAGAGAAAGAAAGAGAAAGAAAAGAGGAATATACCTGAGGGTGAAGACCCTGGGTTCAATCCCCCGTATTGCAAAAGCAAACCAAAAATCACACGATAAAAACTAATGTCCCCACCCAATATTCAGACCTGTGAGTGAAGCATCTTGAATCCACCTCAGCAGCGGCATGAGCAAGGCCAGTAAGACAATAGAAGAATGGTCCAACCAACCCACAAAATCAAGAGAAACAGTAAATCATTGTCTTCAGCCAGAGTTTTGGGGTGGTTTGTCAGGCTGCAATACATAACAACACATACACGCTAAGGACAAAGGCTCTTTCAGGTGCAAGGGACAAAATCACAACTGAGATTGGTTTATGTGGAAAAGGAATCTTAGGGTTTTCTTGACTGAAGTCCTGGGAAAAGCTGGATCCAGCCACAGATAATGTCAGCAGAACTGTTTTCTTTCCGTATCTCAGATGCTTCCTCTGCGATGGCAGAGCTGTCAGTCTGTTTTCCAAAGATGACTGCAGTGGTATCTCTCATTTCTTAGCTTCCTGTCTGCGTGACTTATGACACTATTCCACTATCAAGATATAGAATCCAATTTCCCTCCCCTTGAATCTGAGCTGGTCTCGTGCCTTCCTTATCACAAGTAGGCTGAGGCGAACTTTTAAGGTTAGCTCAAAAAAGGTCATACAACTTCCCTGAATCTCTTGGGATGCTCATTCTAGGGAGAGCAGCTGCCATGGAAGAAGGCAAGTCTAGCTGGGCATGGTGGCACATGCACTAGGAAGGCTCAGGCAGAAGGCTCATGAGCTCAAACCCAGCCTGGACTACAGAGTGAGCCCCAATCTCAAGAAAAACAAACAAATCATAAAAAGAAGTCAAGGCTAATTTCCTTCTGACCACCATGATGGTGAGCAGCCCCAAGTAAGCCCAGCCTTGCAGCCACCATCATGACACCAGACATGTGAGTGAAGATGTTTTGGGTCCTCTAGATCAGCCACCGACCAGTGAAGTGGGTCTCAATTAGTGCCTCAAAAAGCAAAAGAATAGCTGGGTGCAGTGGCACATGCCTATAATCCCAGCTCCTTGGGAGGCTGAGGCAGTAGGGTTGCAAGTTTGAAGCCAGACTGGGCAATTTAGTAAGATCCTGTTGCATAAAATAAAAAAGGGCTGGGATGCAGCTTAGTGGTAGAGCGCTTGCCTAGCATGTGAGAGGCCCTGGGGTCAACATCTGTAGGGCAAAAATGAGAGATGGGGAGGAAGAGAAAGAGGAAGAGGAAGAAGAAAAGGAGGAGGAGGGGGAGGAAGAAAAGTAAAAGCCCAATCAAATCCTCCAAGAAATCCTGACCTACACAATCTGTATATAACAAATTTGGGATAACAAAATATATAACAAAATCTGGGATATAACAAATAGTTGTCATTTAAGTCACTACATTTTGGGCTAGTTTGTCACGTGGCACCAGTAATTGAAACAAGGCTGAATACATGGAATGTCTCCCAGTATTTCCATGCTCCCTTCTAGCAGCATGCCTCAAATTCCCAGTGGAAAGAGTAACTCCTCCCCAATTCTTCCCAAAAAGACCTGGGAAAGGTTCTCATTGGCCCATTCCTGACCCAGTCCCTGTCACCATGGGATGGAAAGCTCTGATTAGACACTTTCTGGAGCCAGCAGATTCATCGGCCCCATTGAGAATTTCTTCCTGAAGACAAGTGGCGCTGTCACCAGAAGTAGGGAAAATGGATTCTGGGCACAGCAAATCATGATCAGTAGAGCTCTCTACCTTGTGCATAACCACAGAGCACTCCTTGAGCCTCACAGGGTCACCTCAGTGTCCCTAGGGTTCATTCACACAATCAGAGACTCAAGTCACACGCAGTGCCTGTCGTGTTCACAATGCTCATCACAAGGTGTTCACACCCCCCAAGGCCTGAGTGTGTCCACTGCAGACTGCAGAATTCATACTACATCTCCAAGACGTTCAACCAGCATACCACAGTGTTCTCACTGTCACCATCATGTCTCCATCACGGGGACATTGTAGTATTGATGGCATGGACCAATGAGTTCATGCTCTGTAGAGGACATCATAGGGTCCCCCCTGTATTTTTCAGGAACATCACAGTCCCAGTTTTGTATAGGATTGGGCTGGATAGTCCACCAGGGTGCTACCTCAGGAGTACGCTCTCCTCCCCTGGCTCTTCCTAGTCCCCATGATGAGTCTGCCCCAGTTACTCAACCCTCGCCCATGCATCTACCAGCCTCTGTGCCTCTGTCCCTCATGACCTGAGGCCTCTTTGATGTCTCCCCAAAGAGGTCCCAGATGGCTCTGGGTGTGATACAGCTTCAACTCTGACCAAGATGCTGGCAGCCCAGGAGAGCACGCAGCAGTGCCAGGGCGGCCATGGTTAGGCTGCCCAGCAGATGGCCTTGCTGGCTGTATACTTCTGGGACACGCAACTGTTCTATTGGCTGGAGCTATGGAAAGTTGGCCTTGAGCAGCCTCCCTCTTTATAAGCAGAATCTTTCACCCACATTTCATCCTTGTAGGCCCTAAGGATTTGGTCCCTTCCCCAAGTCACCACCAGGACTCTTGTGCAGAGAAGGGGAAATGGAGGTTAGGAAAAGAGTAACTTGGCTGAGCAGAGTTGTGCATGCCCGTAATCCCACCTATCTGGGAGGCTGAGACAGGAGGATCATGAGTTCAAGGCCAGTCTGGGTGACAAAGAGCTCCTTGTCTCAAAAGGAAAAAAAAGTAAGAGGGAATGTGACCAGGCCTAGATAGATAGAATGGGACCCAGGGATAAAACATGTGGCCCTGTAGAGACCATTCTTAATGGGTTTGCCTTTTATTCCAGAAGGAGAGCAATGTTTATGGTGGCTAAATTGAAACACTTCGAGGACAGGATAGGATAGGATATAGGGCACTGGCAGGGAAGACACAGAAAAGGGAGAAGGCATTTGAACCCCACCCCTAATTTTAAAAAATTATAGTCTATTTTCATACTGTAAAATTCACACTTTTTTTTTTTTTTTAACTTCTGATTTATTTCTTTTTCTTTTCTTTTTTTGGTACCGGGGATCAAACTCGGGTCCCTGCGCTTGCACAGCAGGAGAAAATTCACCCTTTTGAATGTACATTTAAATGACTTTTGACAAATATAATCACTTACTGTCATAATCAAGCTATAAAATATTTCTATCACTTCGGAAGTTTCCTCTGCAGTCAACCACTCCCTGCATTCCCAGCAACTGGTAGACACTGAGCTGCTCTCCTTTCTGTGGTTTTGCCTTTTTGAGACTATCATATAAATAGAATCACATAGTATGAGGCTCCCACCCCATCCCTCACCCTCACCAGTTTGGGAGACAGAACCCAAGGGCACTATACTGTTAGATCCTCAGTCCTTTTACAATTTTTTTTTTTTTTTTTTTTTTTTTGCTACCGGGGATCAAACTTGGGACCTTGCACTTGCGAGGCAGGCGCCGGAACCACTGAGCTAAATCCCCGGCCCTCCTTTTACAATTTTTTATTTTGGGACAGGGTCTCATTAAGTTGCCCAGGCTGGCCCCTCAAACTTGGGATCCCCCACCTCAACATCCTGAGTAGCTGCAATTACAGGCATGTGCCACTGTGCCCGGTGGTATGAGCCTTTCTAATCTATTTTATGTTACGTAGGATATCCAACCATCCACGGTGTTGCATGTTTCCAATGTTCAGATCTATGGATGAGTAGTAATCCATGAAAGGATGTACTAGTTTCTTTATCCATTCACTACTTAAAGGACATACAGGTTGTCTTCAGTTTTCCTGTTCTTAGCAACTACACTTTAGTAATAAATGTTCATGTACAGGTGTTCATTTAAACAAGTTTTTCATTTATCTTTGGTTGATACCTCGGAATGGGGTTGTGTGGTAATTGTACATTTAACTTTCTAAGAAACAGCTAAATTGTTTTCCAAAGTGATGGCCCCACTTAATTTCTACATGCCACGTAGGAGAATTCTAGTGCTCGGCATTCGCATCAACACTCCATCTCAGCAGAGTTTGAGTTTGAGTTTTATTTTCACCCTTTCCAAAGCTTTTTTTTTTTTCCCCTGTACTGGGCCTTGAACCCAGGGCCTTGAGTATGCCAAGCAAGCACTCCAGCATTAAGCTACATCCTTAGTCCTCATAGTGGTTTTAATTTGCATTTCCCTAGTGACCAATGATGTTGAACATCTTACTGGTCATTCATATGTCTTTGATGAATTATTTGTTTAAATATTTTGCCCTTTTTGTAACTGGATTACTTATTTTCTTATTACTGAGTTTTGCAAGCACTTTATTTATTCTGGATAAATGTCCTTTAGAAGACATATGCTTTGACAATATTTTTTATGCTCAATCTGTGGCTAACCTTTTCTAATTTGTCAATTTGCTTTATTTTAACAACTGAAGTTTTGGAGTTGGATCTAAGAAATCTTTGCTGAACCTGGAGTTGCAAAGATTTTCTCCTGTTTTTTCTAGGTGTGTTTTAGTTCTAGGTTTTGCCTTTAGGCCTATCATTCATTTTGAAATAGCTTTTGGAAAGGGTATGAAGTATGGGTCAGGTTTTTTCTTTTTTCAGCATAGGGTTATCCCATCATCCCAATACTATTTGTTAAAAAGACTGTGCTATCTGTATTAACTGTTTCCTGCCTCTCGTTTTTAACACTGTGACTTCTACTGGCATTGACCTCAGTACCCTAGAACTTTCTGGTACACAAAGGTGAGAAATGGGATAAATGCCTCTTTCCTGATCCCAAAACAGAACTGCTTACCCCAAATATGACACAGACTGCTCAATGGATCAGCACCGGGGATGTAGCTCAGTGGTGCTGTGCCTGCCTGGAAAGCAC